CTCTCTCTCTCTCTCTCTCTGGTTCTCGCACTCGCATGCACGTGAGAGGTGTTGGTCGATAGCTTCTCCAAAGCAGCTCACTGGACGCCAGAGAGCGACGAGGAGTAGAGAGTACCTGTTGTGCGAGTGAGAAGTTGTTATCATCCCGAGAACCAGCTGATCGTATAACAGTCTCGGTCAGATGGACTTCCAGCAAAGGTATTTTGTTATACATGTACTTACGGTAGTTTAAGTGTTCCAAAGTTACAACGAATTGATGAGGGAAAAAAAAGAAAAAAAAAAAGAAGAAAAAGTTAGAAAAACACCAACCAAATAATTTTCTGAATTCATATAATACAAGTCTCTTCAAAATCAGTAAAGTGAAGAAACATAGCCTTGTTGATAGTATATCCCTGTTTATGTTTGATCAAAGAAGTACAAATCATATATTTTTTTTGGAGTGCGTAGCGTACATTGAGTTTCATGATTGTGTTACTGCCCATCTCTTGCATTCAGTTGTTCACCATCACTTGTGTCTTTCCCATCATTACTTCCTTGTGTTCAAGAGGGGTTATTATGTTATGTTAGTAAACGAGGAATTATTCACCTTGACGATTAGACAAAGAACAACAGAGCTGTGGTCAGGCTTTGTCGTGTCCGGATTGGCAGGTAATTAGTTTGTTAATTAAGCCATCCACAAAACGCTCACCGTTATTACACGTGTCATGCTGTCAAAGCGTAACAGCGCTTTCGTGGTGGACCCAAGAAGGAAGTAAATATGAACTGTGGCAAGATAGATAGACAGCCAGTCTACACAGAGTTTCTTCGATCTAGTAAAACTTTTGTGTGCTCAGGGTTTTTCAGCTGTGTATTTAAGGGTAAAGCTATATATTGTGTCAATATATGTACTTTAAATTCAAAGTACCTGCAGGCACTCAAAATCTCATGTCATAAATAAGCACAGAGTAACAGACAACGGTTTTCTTTGTTTGAAGTGATAGTGTCAGATTAATTACAAGCCTTGTTGAAAATATTTCAAGGCAAATAAACGTTTGCTGGTTGGCAAAAGTTTGTTCTCAACTGTGATTTACGATATGTAATCGTCAAAGGAGAGAGACAAATATTTCCTCTAATCTGTGACTTTCGTACTTACAACAATTGATATCTTAACTCTCAAATAGGAGTGTTAAACCCTTTCTTTTACTTTACTGAATAGCTGTAGACAGATATCCCCACCATTTATTGGTTGTGAATTCTTTGTTCAGATTCGGACTAACTTACTTCATACTTTGAATTGGGGGTGAGGTAAGTACACGCAAACAGATAACGTCTGTGATTGTGAGTGACTAGATCTATACATCTCTCCCGCCTCAATATATATATATA